TGATCTTGATGAAGGAATTACTAGTGATATGAGCAAATTCGCCGATGACACGAAGATAGGTAGGATAATTGATTCAAACGTAGATGTTAGTGAACTTCAGGAGGATTTAGACAAACTCTACTCTTGGTCAGAAAAGTGGCAGATGCAGTTCAATGTAGATAAATGCAAGGTTCTGAAGCTCGGGAGTGTCCATAACCCTAGCACTTATAAGTTAAATAATGTAGAACTTAACCATACAGATTGCGAAAAGGACTTGGGGGTTATGGTAAGCAGCAACCTTAAACCAAGACAGCAATGCCTAAGCGTACGTAATAAGGCAAATAGATTACTGGGATTTATATCAAGAAGTGTAAGGAACAGAAGTCCAGAGGTCATACTGCAGCTTTATACATCATTAGTAAGGCCTCACCTAGATTATGCAGTTCAATTCTGGTCTCCATATTACAGAATGGACATAAATTCATTAGAAAACATTCAGCGTAGGATGACTAAATTAATACATAGCATTAGAAATCTTCCTTATGAAGAAAGATTGAAGACTCTTAAGTTACATTCACTTGTTAGATGAAGAATGAGGGGAGACCTGATCAAAGTGTATAAGTGGAAGATAGGTATTAATAAAGGGGATATTAACAAGGTCTTGAGAATATCTCTCCAAGAGAGAACCCACAGTAATGGATTTAAATTAGATAAGTTTAGATTTTGAAAGGACATAGGAAAGTATTGGTTTGGAAATAGGGTAGTAGATGAGTGGAACAGTCTACCTAGTTGGGTTATTGAGGCTAGGACTTTGGGTAGTTTCAAATTTAGGTTGGATAAATACATGAGTGGGATGGGTTGGATTTGAGTGGGACTTGCACATCAGAGCTTATTTCTTGGGTAGCATTGAAAATTGGGTAGGTCAAATGTTTGTTAGTGGGATGAATTGTAAAGGACCTGCCTAGTATGGGCCAACAGGCCTGCTGCAGTGTTCCTCCTTTCTTATGTTCTTATATAATTCCAATATGTCAGGTATGTCACTTGTAAGTCAGAGGTAGCCCTTACCTGTGTTGGGGCAAAGGCTTGCTGATCATGGCATTGAGTCAGTTAGTCTTATCATCCCTACCTATATACCCTTCTGCTGCAGCAGAATGGCAAAACAAAGAATTTGGTGAAGATTTACCTGAGTGTGTGTAGCATACCCACGAATTGAATAATGCCAGAATTGTTGGTTTGATTGAAGAGATGATGCTGGACACATTCACTTCAGTTGTACGCTTGGCACACATTACCTGATGGCTAACATGAATGAACCACACGGAAAATAGTTCTCCTGCGACACTTGCTGATAGTACATAATTCATGGCAGGAAGAGTGTCTGTTTTCCCTGGAGATTGACAGTGTTCAACACATGTTTGAGATATATGCACACACAGCCATGAATGTTTCTATGTTTCAGTGTAGTGTGATCTGGGTATGGCCCAGCCAGAGCACCCAGAATAATTCATCACATCTTCACTCGCCGAAAACAAACTGCAATCCGCCAGCCTCTGCACCAACCTTTCCAGGGAGGTTCAGCTGACATATCGTCTACAGATATTAGGTGCCAGTACTTGCGACTGAACACAATCAAGGATTGATAAATTAGACACATGTGCAACTCTTGGGTATCTTTACTGAGGAAACGTTTCACCACACAGTGGCTTCATCAGTCCATACAAAGGAGAAACATGAAGAACAGGAGGAGAATGAGGTAATCAGTCCCTCAACCTTGAGTCAATGTGGTCAGTCCATCAATCTTGAATAGAATACAGCATATGTGCAGAGAAGTAGCTTATCTACCATAGGCAGGAGAAGTGCAGCAGTCATAGATACCCAAGATACCCAAGAGTTGCACATGTGTCTAATTTATCAACGTGTCGGTTCTCTGAACCATTCATCTACAATCAAGGATTACCATTTCCTTGAGGCCTAGGTGCAAGCTGTAGGACATAATGCCCCTAACTATATTATCATGTTTGAGGCAAATTATCTGGAATTTTTAGTGGTTTGGGTAAACAGCAGAGACTATCGCAAGGAGGCCAGAGGTCTTGTGATGCCTGTCTAATATATGCAACTGATCTATGATGAGTTTGCAGTCTGATTTTGATTGCTAATGAATACATGCAAGCTGAGCTGTTGCTTTGGCATACACATTAGGCTCTCCTCATCTCCAGGTGTTTGAAGAAGAGGGATTGTCGCCCCCTTGCTAGTGTGATCATCACCCCGAGAAGGGGGACGTTTTCCCCCCTTGATTGGAGAATTTCCTCCACACCATCTGTTCACATATGTGCTGCATAACTCTTATGGATTTAGTGCTCCCATGAATGCAATAATAATAATAATTAATAATGATAATAATAATAATGATAATAATAATAATAATAATAATAATAATGATAATAATAATACACAAATAACCCACAAATAGAAGAATGAAACTTATGGCTCTGGCTTTCTTCCCTTTGCACTTCTTTGTGACTAGTTAATAGTCCAAGTTAGACCGATACATCGCCATAAGTTTCATTCTCCTACATGCAGGTTATTTGTTCATTGTTCCAGTCATGTTATTGTGTCTTTATTCTTATTAATAACAATAATTATAATAATAATGGGCTAATAATAAAATTGAGTAGCAAAGAAAATGCACTGCAGAACTAGCTCTACACAGAACAAAGCATTGCCTCAGTAAAGCTTTTCTGCAATGTATGTTTTCTTCACTATTGTTGGCAATACACAATTTGGCCCCAGAGGATGAGTTGTATGTTTGGGCTTCACATTGCTGATGTATATGTCACACTGAGGCTCTTTTTCAGCAGTTTTAAGTCAAAATATATATGCCACTCTTCTATTTTATTTTTCCATGTGATTTTGTGTTATGCTAAAGAAAATATACCTGTCTATTCTCACTTGTTTCAGTCAAACAAGACTGGATTAGTACAGGACTGTAATGGTGTAGTTTATTTTTTACTCACTAACAAACATTTTGTCATGATAAATATTTTGTGTGCTGCATGCCCATAAAGGACTGTTCAAGATTTTAGGAAAGATTTACTTAAATGTTTTCCTGGATGATACAGTGGCCGCAAAAAAAAATCTATACACTAGATTTTGGTGTATACATTTCAATTGAGTTTCCACCATAAGAAAAGTGGGCGGAGCTTGTGATGGCTTAGTGTACTGGAGCCCATCTTGCTCCAATGTTCCCCACCACCCCACATGTCAGTGCTCTTCCAGAGCTCGATGAGGAAGGAGGATTGCTACGTTGTTACTTATTACCCATTTTTTCACTCAACCACGAACTCTGCTCCAAGTGGTCAGAATGGGTCAAATAAACTTTCAATTGTAGAGAAGACTCATGCACTCACCCTATTAGAGCAAGGCATGTCTGTGATATCCATAGGCGCAGACCTGAAGGTGACTAGGATGGTAAATTACAACCTCAAGAAAGCAGCTGTCTCACTCCCACCTGGCACCGTACCACCTAGGAAAGTGGGATTTGGGGCCCCCAAAATGACTTCTCTTCGCACAGACAAGATCCTGAGGAGAGAAGTGTTATCAGGTCCTGCCATAACAGCCACAGACCTCATGAAAAAGCATCCTGCACTTCTGAAAGACATCTCAGTGCGAACCATTCAGCACTGACTGCAAAAGGACCTAAAAATGCCTGCTCGATGTGCTGCCAAGAAGCCCATGCTAATTGAAACCATGAAGAAGAAGAAACGGCTTCAGTTCTGTAAAAAGTACAAGGATTGGACCTCAGACAAGTGGCAGAAGGTGATGTTCAGCAATGAGAGTACCTTCAGGCTCGTCAGGATTGGCTCTAAGACTGCCCGTAATCCCAGTGGTGTGTCCTGTTATGACCTGTGGTATGCCGTGAAGACAGTGAAGCACCCCAACAGCGTTATGGTCTGGGGTGCTTTTAGTAGTTATAAGGGCAGAGGTGGACTATACTTTCTTCCTAAGAACGTTACGATGAAGGGAAGTAATTATATCGAGGTGTTAAGGGACCACATGCTGACATTTTGGAACATTCACAAGTGTGATGTTTTTATTCATGATCGTGCTCCTGCCCATAAGTCAAAACGAGTGAAAAAGTTCCTTGACGACAATAATATTAGTGTTTTGGAGTGGTCAGGCACTTTCCCTGACTTAAATCCTATCGAGAATGCCTGGCATATGATGAAAAATGAAATTGCAAAAGCTCGACCCACCAACATCACGGACCTGCAGGAAGCACTGAAGAAGCTTTGGATCAACATAGATGCCTTCTTCTTCTCCACCCTTGCCACTTTGATGCCCAGGCGACTTCAGATGGTGATAAAGAACATTGGTAACATGACTAAGTGCTGGATGCTAAAAAGTGAAAATAAAATACATGTGCATACATTAAGTTGCATTTTTTCATTTTATTGTCCAAAAATTGTTAATGTATAGATTTTTTTTGCGGCCACTGTATGTATGTACTTTCCTCCATAAAGTAGAATATATTTTAAAATTGAAATTCTTGAGTTCCATTTGCAGAATATGACTGCAGAAGCTGGGTAGGACTCTCTTCATTAATCAGTTTCTGTGGTGCTTAAAGAGATCCTTACTTGACCTTTCCTACCCTATTGTAACTTATTATGACTATGAAATTAATAACTTTTCTCACAGTAAGTGAAAATTTTATTTTTTAAAAATTCAACACGCTTCTCTGAAGTCACTTTCCAGTAAGGAATAATGTTCAGTCAAAATATGAATATAAAATGCCTCAACCCTGTTGGAAATTTAAATAAAAAAAAGGCAAGGAAAATTTTGCTTCATATCTTCATTTAATAAAGTAACAGCCGTGAACCAAAACTTCAGACATTTTAAATGATATCTTAATATATTTTTCAATATTAAGTGATGTTTAATTCCCATTATCAAGGATATTGCTTGGAGTTGATAGTTGCCCTGTATTTGATTAATGCTTATTGAGGCAATATTTTATCCATCAGGTTTGCGTGAGTGGTAAACACATTCAGCTCATACCATGGCTTGGGTATACAAGTATTTTGGCAGTGATTGCCTTCATCACAAAGTTACACACGCTTCACTTAGCATGGCTTGTCACAGTTGTCATCATACAGCTGGTAACTTTTCTTTATAGGATTCATGGAAAAGTTGTTTCAGGTTAGTTTTTGCATAGTATGTTTATAAGATGATGAAGTACAGTACATGTATATAACTAAATGTGGAATACTTTAAAATGGATTACCAAGATGATGTATATTTTTTGCACAAATTTTATATTTTATGTAAATGGTGCAAGTCACAGGAAAGAAAATCTTAACCATAAAAGATGGGAAAATGAGTCTCTGTTTTTCTTCTTGCAACTGATGCCATATAATCTGTTGTATAATTATTTACATTGGTACATTAAACAAGTAATGAATGTAGAGTAGCTACATCCTTGTGGCATGTTAAACTTATGTTCACAATAATATTATAATGATAGTGTATTACAGTATATCACACTGAACCTCACTAGTTTCTCTTTTTTTTTTTTTGGAGGGGGGGGGAGGAGGGAGGAAAGGATGAATTCATTTCAATCTACATCCATTCATGTCAAGTTATTATATTATACTTCAAAACTGTTTTCTTTCTTCATCATCAATTCTTGTCTCATATAGTATGTGAAATCTTTCTTGGCCAGTTTCACATCTCCCTGAAACTTCCTAATGCTTGTTTTAAGCCCTCTTCTAATAAAACATTTACTGTGCATCCTTAAAAACCTTTCTTACGCTTTTTTTTTATTGTAGATAGCATTTTGTAGATAATAATTAGTACAAATATATATTAAAGGTTATTTATTTAAAATTTTCAGAGACATTGCTGCTTATGGCAGGTACTGGCGTACAAACCACTGCAACCTTTTATACAGGGGAACAGCGCACGCGCTTTATCCCCTGGAAGAATGTAGTTGATGTTATTATTGCCGAAACTATATCATTGGTAAGCACAGTACAGTATATGTATATGTACTTGTTTCACTTGACATTTAATGTTTTCTGATTTATACTGCAGGAGAAATGAATTATCCTTTGCTTTATTACGCTTATATTTAGAATGGCATGTACATGCTGAAAATGTCAGCCCTTGCTTGACATGGATTTTGTTGGTCACTGTGCTGTGTCATTAACTAATTTCCTTATTAAGACATCAGTTAACAGTAAATATTTTTTTAATCTCATTCACTTAATATTTTTTAAACTACTGTATTATCAGGCACAATCTATCTATTTTTTTTTTTAACATGTCAGCCATTTTCCACCAAGGCAGGGTGACCCAAAAAGAAAGAAAAACACACATAAAGAAAGAAAAAACTTTCATGACGACACGACTTATGTCATCTCTCACCCTAATCTTGCTACCCTCAACACCATTGTTAACGAGGAGCTGATCAAAATATCGACTTGGATGACAGCCAATAAACTTACGCTTAACACTGACAAAACCTACTATATTATGTTTGGTAGCAGAGCAGGAGATGCACAAATTAACATTAAGATCGACAACACTCTAATTGCCAGACATAATGAGGGCAAATTCCTAGGCCTATACCTTGACAACAACCTGAATTTCAGCACCCATATCCAACACATAACCAAAAAAGTATCCAAAACAGTTGGGATCCTCTCCAAGATATGATACTACGTGCTGCAAAATGCCCTTCTCACACTATACCACTCACTTATTTATCAATACCTCACCTATGCTATTTGTGCTTGGGTATCAACTGCAGCAACACACCTAAAGCCAATAATAACCCAACAAAAAGCTGCAGTAAGAATAATCACTAAATCCCATCCCTGGCAACACACCCCCCACTCTTCATAGATCTAAACTTACTCCCTGTTCAGTACATCCACACTTACTACTGTGCAATCTACATCTACAGGACCTTAAACTCCAATATCAACCTTGACCTAAAACGCTTTCTTGATAGTTGTGACAGAACCCACAGGCATAACACCAGACACAAACATCTCTACGACATTCCCCATGTCCGACTAAACCTTTACAAAAATTCAATGTATGTCAAAGGCCCTAAAATCTGGAACACCCTACCTGAGAACTCTAGAACTGCAGACGCATTCATCACCTTCAAAATACCATTAGAAAACATCTTATCTCCCTGATAAACCCCATCAACTAACTACACGAATACCACCTGGTGGTTCACACTTACACTCACTCACCCATTTGACCATAAACAGAAATATTAATCTCAATCTTAAAATAATGAATCCTATGATACTCCAGTACTGAAACTATGTACTGTGCCAAAACAAAAGCATTCACATTGCTAAACTCACAAACTAGTATTTAGTCACTTAGCCATAATACCAACTTACCTCATAATTTGTAATATTTTAAAATAAAGAATTAAACTAACTCTGCCCGAAATGCCTAGCCATGCTAAGCGTTTTAGTGGTAGACTCTGTAATCATTATTTAACTACATGTAAACCACACAACAACCAAATTCTGTAAATTCAATACTGTAATCTTTATAGAGAATAAACTTTGAATTTGAATTTGAATCTCATATCTGGGTGCCTCTGCTCCCAGATATGAGAGTTCAAATGTCCCTCCAAACTGCCAATATCCCTAACCCCTCCTTTAAAGTGCAGGCATTATACTTCCCATTTCCAGGAGTCAAGTCCGGCTAACCAGTTTCCCTGAATCACTTCACAAAATATTACCCTGCTCACACTCCAACAGCTCGTCAGGTTCCAAAAACCATTTATCTCCATTCACTCCTATCTAACACGCTCACACATGTTTGCTGGAAGTCCAAGCCCCTCGCCCACAAAACCTCCTTTACCCCCTCCCTCTATCTATACATATATATTATATTTTAATTAGCATTTGGGCTGGGAACATTCAGTTTTTAAAATACACCAGCAAATTACACTAGTCAACAAAATTTAACTTTTTATCTAGTTCAGAAATCAAATTGGTTGCTTTAAAATAACTTTAATGTGCCTGATCATGAATCTGACTTGTTTACTCTCTGTCGTGTAAGGTTTTTTGAAATCTTATGATCATTATCCTGACTTAAATATTTAAGGTTGAAAATTCATATAGGTATTATATTATGCACAGATATTAAGTGTGGTGCATGCAGTAACAAAAAATAATCTTTGTTAATGTAAATTCATTGTTTGTATGCATATATGCATAGCAAAAATAACAGAAATTTCTATGGTCATACAAGCATTTTTACATCACAGTTCACACTTTTCAGACTTTTTTTGCTTGTGTTCAGTATTGTGTTCTTGCACCAGTGTGTAGCAGTAGTCAGTCATCCAATAGTCAGGTTTCCCTGATAGCTCTTATCTAGGATGGCTCTCTTTCACAGAAACTGTACATGTTGTAGCAAAACTAAATTCAGAGTTGAATTCAGCATCCCAAAATTAGTTGGAAACATGCCTTTAAATATGAAATGAAGCCATTATTGGCCAGTTATTGATGTCTGATAATTGTAAAAGTTTTGCACTTTTTATAATAAAAATAATAAAGATGATAGAGATTAATTAAATTGTAATAAGAGAAATTGGGTTAAATTAGTGGAGTTTTAAGGTCCAAAAACAAAAAGCAATAGAGGGTAGTACAACAGTAAATATTTTATACAAGGAAAATTTAAGAGAACACTCGCTAATAAATTAGCTTAGTAACATAATTAACTGCGTATTAAGATTTTAATACCCATTGCAGTCCTGATCAGTCTTGATTTTCTTTGCTGTATTTAACACAAGTTGAGGATAAGTCAATTTTTTTTTTTCCAGTTTTATATTGGGATGGGTCATCCATTCTTTCACAGTTAGCAGGTCTTTCCTTCTCCCCATTTCCCCCACACCCTATTAAAAAAAATACGTATATATATTCCAGTTCTGGGAACCCTCTGCTTATATATTCTTACCTTGCAATACCTCTTGTAACATCAAGGGAGTATTATATATTCCAGCTGAGACACAACCTTAAAAGTTTATACACAAGAATAATTATCTCATATAATTTTACATTCACTCTCCAAGGTGCTGGTCTGTACAGCTGTTACTTTATTTATGGGAATATGAATATGAATGTCACATTTGCTGTTTTACACTCAGTGGCCACTTAATCAGGTACAACTGCACCTGCTTATTAATGCAAATATCTAATCACCTAATCACACGGTAGCACCTCAATTCCTAAAAGCATGCAGACATAGTAAAGACGTTCGGTTGTTCTCCAGACTAAATATCAGAATAGGGCAGTAATATGATAAAGGTGACTTTGACCGTGGAATGATTGTTGGTGCTAGATGGGGTAGTTTGAGTATCACAGAAACTGCTGCTGCTCTTGGGATTTTCATGTACAACAGTCTCTTAGAGTTTACAGAGAATGGTGTGAAAAACACAAAACATCGAGTGAGCAGCAGTTCAGTGGGCAAAAACATCTTGTTAATGAGAATACAGAGGAGAATGGCCAGACTGGTTGAAGCTGACAGGAAGGCAACAATAACTCTCATAACCATGCATCACAACAGTGGTATGTAGAAGAGCATCCCTGAATGCACAACACATCAAACCTTAAAGCAGCAGCAGACCACACTCAGTTCCACTCCTGTCAGCTAAAAACAGGAAACTGAGGCTACAGTGGGCACAGGCTCACCAAAACTGAACAAACCCCATAATACCTGTTGATCATCATTTAAATACCATACTTTACCTAAGTGTTGCTGATGACCATGTGCATCCCTCTATGGGGCTGCATAGTCTACCCATCTTTCAGTGGCCACTTCCAGCAGGATAATGCATCATCTCATAAAGCACATGTCATCTCAAGCTGGTTCCATGAACATGACTATGAGTTCAGTGTACTATGATGGCCTCCTCAGTCACCAGACTGGTGGAATGGGAGATTTGCAGCATGATTGCAGCTGACAAATCTGCAGGAACTATTTGATGCTATCATGTCAGCATGGATCAGAATGTCTAAGGACCTTGTTGAAGGTTTTGTCAGTATTAAGTAGAAGTTTATTGGCAGTCATCCAGGATGATATTTTTATTATCTCTTCATTAACAATAGGCAAGATTTAGGGTGGGAGATGACATAAGTCGCATGGTCACAATACAAGGCACAAAGCACTCTTTGACAGCCCTCGTGTCAGTCTCACACTTTGCAGAAATGCAATGCACATAAAGGGCCCGAAGATCTGGAATTCACTACCTGAACCTGTAAAAGATCCCCTGATTGCATACACAGTTAGGGCTATGCTTAAAAATTGTCTCTTCTCTCATCTCTAATCAGTTTGAAGCAATTCTCCCAAATATTATATGACCTTTAGTCTGTTAAAACATCTGCTGATCTATAAAATAGTACTGTTCAAACCATTATTTGTAATATTGTTATTTATTATATGCAACTTCAAGATTATTATTCTTATAAATCTCCATCTTCGACTACCTCGCATTAGTTATTTTTTTTTATTAACACTGGCCAATTCCCACCAAGGCAGGGTGGCCCGAAAAAGAAAAACTTTCACCATCATTCACTCCATCACTGTCTTGCCAGAAAGGTGTTTTACACTACAGTTTTTAAACTGCAACATTAACACCCCTCCTTCAGAGTGCAGGCACTGTACTTCCCATCTCCAGGACTCAAGTCTGGCCTGCCGGTTTCCCTGAATCCCTTCATAAATGTTACTTTGCTCACACTCCAACAGCACGCCAAGTATTAAAAACCATTTGTCTCCATTCACTCCTATCAAACACGCTCACGCATGCCCACTGGAAGTCCAAGCCCCTCGCACACAAAACCTCCTTTACCCCCTCCCTCCAACCTTTCCTAGGCTGACCCCTACCCTGCCTTCCTTCTGCTATAGACTGATACACTCTTGAAGTCATTCTGTTTCGCTCCATTCTCTCTACATGTCCGAACCACCTCAACAACCCTTCCTCAGCC